ACAAAGCAACTGGAAAATGACAGGGAGAAAGAATAGATAGGATGTGGGAAAGGAGGGGGAAAGAGAGGGTGGAAGGTGAGATTCCAGGGAGCGGGAAACATCCTCTTCTGTGGGGACAGGAAAAAAGAGAGGAAGAGGAAGCACAGGTGCAGCATCAGCAACCGCAATTCCGCACCTGTCAGAGAGAAACCCTCTCCTTATGTTTGCATATGCACATTTCTGCATCCACTAATGAACCTCCTTTTTCTTCCTCATTTCTAGAGCCAAAAGATTGTTAATTCCTGAAGTCTGCTCTTGCCTACTCTTTCCTGGCTGTCCAGTGTGCATTTTCTAGAATGCTTTTGTTTAGGAAGGTTAGTTTCTTGCTACACAGCAGAAATATTTGTGTTAAATGTACTCTGTAAAGGAGCCAAAAATGTGAAAAATGCTCTGGAAGCAGAAAAGAAATACTTATGAGGAAGGAAAGGAGACGCTGCAGGAAAACTCATTTGCTGAGAAATGCAGCTTATGTCTTATCTTAATTCCAGATAAGTCTTCATTCTGCTGTGAAGACAGATGTGATAAATATGTTAATGGCAGATTTCGATAGCTCAGTTTGTAGAACTGCAAGGCCAGATGGAAGTGATAATTTTTCTTTCATTTTAATTTTGAAATAAAAAGCAAGAAAGCAAGAAAGTTCTCGGTATCTTAGCACTGTAATGACTTTTGAAAGGATAATGGACCTTAGCACAAAATGACGATTAACTATCATGCCCTGATGCTCCTATTTTATTAAATTCCCGTTTCCTTGGCTGGAATTCTCTCAGCTTTCTTGCCAGAGATGAGCAGATTACTGCTTGTGACTGACTTTTCCAGTTCCACATTCATAAAGTTATTTAGCAGCAATCCAGCTGGTGGATATTTTATTGATTCTACTGTGGCTCAGGTTAGATACTTGACAAAACAGACCATTGGTAATAGCATTGGATGGAGCTAACTCCTCTTACTCCTTATCAGGAGTGTAATACTGCCTGTTTTGTCCTTTAAGCAGTGCCCTTCTAGGTTTAGGAACACAAGGCTAAATTGTAGCTTTCCATGCATTGATCAAGATTGCATTTAGCAATATTTGCTGTGGGCACTTTGTTTCAATTTAATACAAAAGCACTAGAGGGACATAGATTAACATCTTCTTAAATGTGTAGGATATTTACTGCTTGAACTGATAGTCAAAAAGAAAACTAGAAAACTTTTGCTGCTTGAACCCTCTTGAAGGGGAGGAAAGAGTAGGTTCCCAAACAGGTGAAAAAGGAAATTTTAGAAAATTATTTTCAAGGAAGTTATTAAGTGAAAACTTGGTTTGTCATATTTGCAGTGATGTTTCTAATGTGTGGAAAAACCAGACACATCTGGGTTGTTCCCTTTATATGAATTTTCATTTCTAGAAAGTGAGTACTGAGTGAGTACTGAGTGAGTACACTGAATACTGACTGAGTACTCCCACAGGAACTTCAGGAACCACTTGGCAAAAGGGTGAGATGCTCTATTGTTGAATCAGTAGCATTAACTTCTAGGGTTTTATTGGGTCATTCTCACTTTCTAGATAGGCTCACAAACCAGGAGCTGAATGACCATTTAATTCTACATGTCAGTTAAAACCCTCTCTGAAATTCATTCCAATGATTCTAGCAAAGAGAATGTAGATTTCTGCTGAATTTTATAATACATTTTGCCGTAAGACACAGGATACAAGTTGTTATGTCATTCCTGTCCTCAGCTGGGGGGTGCTTGTGTGTGGAGGTATTGGCTATTGGACAAATACCTGCTGTAGGCTAGTAATATCAGGTGTATGAAGTATATATTATTTTCATCATTCAATACAAGCTATTTTTTTCATTTGTTTAGTTTACATGCATTTTCTTGGGGTTTGTCTTTTTAAATTCAATTAGCAAGTAAACACAAGTAACACAAAATTGCAAACATATGTGGTCTAGATGTTTCTTACACAAATAAAAGGTTGATATGAGAGGGGGAAGGGAAAGTCTATGCAGTTCTGTAGAGGGGAGAGGAGAGATCTCAGGTTCTGGAAGTGCAAACTGCATCAGCAGGAGCTGAGCTAACTTAATTAACCCTGTGAAGGGATTGGGCAGCGTGCTTAGTTAATGCAGCTGTATCATGTTTGAGAATTCATCTGCTGTCTCTGGACTTTGCTGAACTGTGCAGACATGCATGAAAAGTTGACATTGCACCTTGCACACAAGCAGAGGCAGTTCTCACACTCGTCTGTGGTTCCAGTCTGCGCTGGATGTCAATCCAGTGACTCACATGACCAAAACTATGCAGTGAAGCATGCAGCCCTGCTCTTGGGCCCGGAGTTTCCTTACCAAGGTCAGAGAACAGCAGGAAGAGACAGCTGGAGCCTCTCTGTCCTCACAGCCTTGCTGCAAGCTGAGGCGATCAAAGCACAAGCTGTAGCTAAAGGTGACCCATGCTTGCAGATAATCCTCAGGTACTGGCAAAAACCAGACAGATCTTAGTCTTCTGTGGACCTATGCAGCAGCAGCATTTTATCCTGGAGCTCCAAACCAAGCAGAGCTTCCCAAATGATGTGCAAGGAAACCATTCACCACTCTCCAGCAAGCAGCCAGAGCTCCCCAAGCACCAGGCAGAGAGCTGCCTGCAGGAGGAGAGTGGCAACTCACGCAGCACTAAAGCTTATCCCAGGCTGCCACCTTGTCAGGCTTAAGTTCAGCTCATTAGGACGCTCATCTGTTATTTATGCAAATAAGCCTATGCATAGTCACAAAATATGCAAAATGGCTATTTATCAGTTTGGCACAGTTTCTGACTTCCTGAACCTTCAGACGTTCCTGATAGATTTAAAAAGAAAACACAACGTCCCCTAGCGCTGCAGAGGGGCCAAGGCAGAGCCTAGCTGCTACCATCCACCTCTTCTCAGAGGACTCATGGTGCTCAGGATAGAAAAGATAATGTATTCTATGTGACTTTAAACACAATATGTTACAGCTCAGGATGTTTAATCTAGTGAATAAAGGATCTCTACTTGTTTCACCTTCCCAGGGGAGGAGATTTACAATATGCATAACTCCAAGCATTCTGACTGCAGTTTATTATTTATTTATAACAGGCACCTGCCCCTCAAAAAATTAAAAAGAATCTTCTGAAATAGTGTTTAAATTATCTCCTTTGTCTGGACAGCTGCAGTCTAAGGTTGCTCTCACTCATGAATGTGCAAAAGAACCTCAGCTCATTCCTTCTCTACCCTTACCGCTCTCTTCTCACTTTAGGAAAATATTATCTTCTGCATGAGCCTGATGAGGAGTCAGCATCCACCTGCTTTTCTGCACACACAGCCATCAGCAGCTGCAGGAGGTTTGAATCCTCCTGACAAGGGTACAGACTGACCAGAAACAGAGCTTTAGGGAATTTTCCCCCAGTTCTTTATCCCTGGCCAGTACCAGGGTGATTGCTTTCCTGTGAGCTCCATGGACAAGTCTCTCATGTATCCTTCCTTGCACAACATGATGTCTTATTTAAGCTGCCCATTGTTCATTGTAAAAATTAGAAGAAAGACCTGTCTGTAGTAAAGACAGGAGAAAATGTCACATCTTTTTTTGGTAGTACCCTTACCTTAGGGAGCCACCTTATCCGTTCAATTCTCCTATAGACTGTTGGAACCAACTCCCAGGTTCTATGTGGAGCTTTGGACCTGCATGTGGTCTTGGAATTGAGGAAAGAGAGAAGGAACACCTCCAGCAGGCAAAGAGAGGTACTCACAAATGCTGCCCTTTCAGAGGCTACAATTGAACTTTAGTTGCATACCAACACACAAAAAAACAATTCCATCTGAATCTCCCAAAATATAATAACATGAGTTACATTGTATTTAAAGCATAGCAGTCAAAACACAGGGTGCTCAGTCCACCCTGATGTCAAGATGATCTCATCAGGAGAGAGAATAGTAAGAGCAAGAGTAGGAAAACATGTGGATTCAGATAAAGATGGCTTAATAAATGAAGGGAAGAGGGGGAAAAGAAAACCCCAAAACAGTGATGCGAAGGCAGTCCCTCACCACCTCCCACAAGCTGTCTGACCAGTCTATGAGTTATGGCTGCCTTCCTAGGCAAATCACTCTCAGTTTTTATTGCTGAACACAGTATTATGTGTCATGGAATATCCCTATGGTCAGCTGGGTGTCCTCTCCCAACCTCTTGCCCAGCCCCAGGGAACTTCCTAGGGGAAGCCTGGGAAATCAAGAAGGCCTTGACACTATGGGAGCATGGCTGTAAAACAGCCAAAAGATTTGTGTGTTATCAATCCAGATTAAATAAAAATACTTTACAGACTGGTGTGAAGAAAATCAACTCCACCTCAGCCTCACAAAGACTAATGAACAAATGCATTGTCTTAGTCAATTAAAATTGTCCTGGAAGGGGTTCTTCTTTGTTTTTGTTAACATCAACTTCTATTCTAAAAGAACTGTTGTTTTTGGGTTTTTTTGTTTGTTTTGTTTTGTTTTTGGTTTTCTGTTAATTTTATTTTAAGTTCCAAACCTATTTCCCACTTGAGTGAGTGTAAAACAATGAATTCAAAAATTTCAATACAACCTGTCTCTCTGTGAACTTAATTCCACAGTTTCCAGCTGAGCAAAATTATCTTTACATCGTGAAAACATATGCTTCCCCTTAATAAAGATTTAAATACAGGCACTTCAAATCCCTCCCTTCACTTTTACAATGGTGCAGTAAAGGATTATCCATGCAAAATTATACAGCCAAGATTTCTGCTGTGAGTCGGCATGGTTCCGTTGTTTTTCATGGATCAATTAACACACACTGGAGATTTTAGCCATTCCTGTCTGTAATTGCTAATTTGCCCATTACAGGGAGCTGAGAGCCATCTGTGTACCTGGCATAAGGATACAACAGTGAAATGAAGACTTTAAACCCACAGAACATGACCTGTGGTTGTAGGACATTCAAAGACAAGATTGGACACCCTACCTTTGGAGCTTGTAGTACATCAGACACATCTCGCTTAGGCACTGCAAGAGTAGGTGGTGGTGCTGTTGTTGGCTTTTTCGGAGGCCTGGGTGGTGGATGGAGGGTTAGGTTTTCATATCTTCTCAACATATAGTATTCCTCTTTGCTGACCTCTTCCACAGTTGCCCTAGTCACAGGCGGTGCAACTGTCTGGACATCTTTGCTGAGCAAATGGACCAGCATGTTTAAACGATACACAGGAATCTCCCAGCTCTCCGCTGGACTGCTGGCACTACTGACCAGCAAGTAAGAGTCTGTGATTTCTTCTTCAAACTGCAGACCAGGTGCAGCAGCCAAGACATCTTTCTCGATAGAAAGGTCCCTCACAGACACTTTGACGTTAAAAGGCAAATGGAATTCTTTGCAAATCTCAGAGAGGTGGTACTGTTTCTTGTCATGAATCACTTCCACAAAGCCACCTTCCATGTACATAGGGAGGAGCACTTTTTTATATGAATCACTTAGTATTTGCTCACAAGCTAAAACATCTATGAGTTTCTTTCCTCCCTCATACAGAACTTCACTAGTCTGGCATTGCTGAACTAGAAATTGATCTCCAACTGAAACAGAAAAAAACTCTTTATGAGGGGAGGTAAAGGCTTTAGTTGCTACAACATGAAGATGTTCTTTTTCATTTCTCACTATCTCTAAGTCATAGGCAGTTGGAAACTCCCGAGGTCTTCTCTTGAATTTTCCTTTGTAGCTCATAGGGATTAAATAATGTCTTTTGGAGGAATCACTTCTCATCTCAGAGGCTAGGACTCTTGCTGCCTGGTACTTTTTGTAAATGACAATCTCTTTCCCTGTAGACAATAAGTTATAAGGTTTTTGGTTTCCCGAAGGCCCTTCCATTATCTCAACAACCATAGGAAATTCTTTGCTTGTTCTCTCAAATATATCTTCCAAAGAAAGTGGCTGAAGGAAAGAGCTAATATCATAATGGTCTGTTACATCCTTGACCTCAACATCCAGATCTGAGAGGATATGAATGATGTCTTTTCGAACTGAAAAGAAAAATAAATATATTGAGTTTTGTTTTAAAACTGACACTGAAATAAAATACACATCCTGTTGGCCAGATACTAAAAGTACCTTCCCTGAGGTGTGCATGTCCATGTGTAAATGTGCACCACTAACTGGGCCAGCCAAAGTCTGATTGTGGTAATTTGAAAGATATGGTTATCAAATATGCACGAGACCACACAAATGAAGAGAGACAATAAGGTGTGCAAGTGAACACAAAATTTAAGAAAAAGAAAAGTCTAGTTCACCATTTCCCCCACAACGCCTCCAAGTTTAATCAGTTGTTTATCTTCTCAAACTCTTGGGTGCAAGATGTATTTTTATTCTTTTACTTCATAGCAGTTTAGGGTTTCTCTAAAGAAATGAGTGAAGAAACATTTTTAATAAATAAATAGCATTTGGATCCGTTAACAATATGTTGCTGCTATAGCCAGGCTGGGAGAAAAAAAGTATTTTGATATTTATAAGAATAATTAAAACATCTGTAATTACTAGGAAATAATATCACTTAACAAAATGGCAAAGCCTTTGTATAACTAAGAGTAAGTTATTTTTATGAATTAAGACATTTAAATATTATGTTCCTCTCTGGAACTGTTGCATCTTTTTCTGCATCACCTGGTTTTATTCACTATCAGAACTGAGCCAGTGAATTTAACATCCTGACAGTGAATTTAACAGCTCTTTAATCACAACTGAACTTGCAAAATTTTGAATGCAAAACTTCCAAGAACAAAGCTGACTACGTAATTAAGGCTTGTTTAAGAATTTGGCTCCAAGTCAGTGACACCACAGATCACTGACCAAGGGAGTAAAATTTAACAAACACATAATATTTAATTACACTCTTCAATAAGATTTATTCTGCATAGACCTACACAAAGGGATAGTATATTCTGGATTCACACTTCCTTGTAGCAGGACATGCCAATATTTTATACTGAAAAGTTGGTGTTGGATTTATTTTCTATGACAGAGTTCTATGACAGTGATTCAGGGTCTGTTTGTTCCAACTCTGCTTTTGTCATATTGACACCTTGAGGTGATAAACATTCTGAGCACCACAAGGAAAAGACAACAAAGGAAAATGACTGGTGAAAATGAAACTTTCTACGAGCATTTGTGAGAGTTCCACACACAAAACTTGTTCATTATTAATAATGAGACGTATAGAGGATTCCTGCTCACAGCCTGTGAAAATGTAATCAGCTATCCGAGTTATCAGGAATCTTTTTTTTTTATAGTGGGTAGTAATTCTCATACTTTATCTTGTGCCTATTTATAGGTCTTCTAAAAATGGTGAAAATCCATTTTCCATGGTCCACAAGAAAGTAGTTATTCATGTACCATGAAGCCTACTTTTCAAGTTTGTATTAAATAGTTATTTAGGACACATGCAATGCTTCTTAAATGTTGAGAACACCATGAAACTTAAAATGAAAACAACAAATACAATCCTTACTGGAATAACTGACTGGAAGACAAGTGAATACCAAATATTTCTGAATCTTCTGAAGGTTTTCAGGGGTATTAAATTCCTATTGATTCTGCACATATATCTAATGACATAGCAATAAACCTGAGTTAATTGAGCTTCAGGAGATGAGCTAGATCTCTGAATCTAGCTAGAGTTACAGCAAACATTACTTTTACATTTTACTTTTACATTACAGTTACCTTAACTTGTGAAGTTATATTTTCCAAACTCACACATTAAATCACATAGCAAGCACCACTGAATGTCTTATGATAAGCATATAACAACTATGGTATATTGTGTTAGCAGTCTCTGCCTGCTTTTATTTCTTTCTCTTCTGTCCATTTGCTTACATAATTCAACAGAGAAATGCTCAATTGTGAAAAGATTTCTCGCTTAATATCCTCACGAATGTCATACTTCTGTTAAGATTCAATTTCTACGGAGCTTGTTGGTTTGCTTCTAGTAAATGCAACAAGCAGCAAAACCTTCCCAAAAGCTAAGCTACTATCCTCCAGTCAGAACCCAGCTGTATCAAGGTTTTGTGGAACAACTAGTTCATAAATATTTTTGAGTTTTTAAAAATAAAAACTCAGAGCACAAACTTTTAAAGATACCGGTTTTCTAATCTTTCTGCTTCCTCAAACCCACAGGTTTCAGAATTTGTCCATGAGTTTTTTGTGTTTATATTTGGTTGATATTTGTTTCTGCAACAGAATAAGATAATATGATTTTCCTTTCTCTGACATCCTCGTTCTGAAAATTAAATGGTAACTAAGTGTATTGCAACATGTGCAATTGTTTTTTTTTTTCTTTTCTTTTTCTACCTCCTAGACATAGCCATAAATGATCAAGTGGCTTCTCCATGGCCAAAGTCTAAGACACAAAGAAAGAGAATCTGGGAACTGGACAGAATTCCTAAGCTTAACCTTTCTACAAAGCTGAGCTTAGGAATTTACTATGCAATGTATTTTCAGTGAGGATTTAATTGTAGTGATCAACAAAATGGCAACAGAAAGAAATGCAAGGTAATAATCTGAACTAGCAGATGATAAAGAAACACTAAAAATATTATTTTGATCTTTCTTCCTCTTGAAACTAACATTAGTGGCAAATATGGATAAGGAATTTTTAACAAACTGAATCTTTCATGGTTATTTTAAGAAAATGTTGTGTATTTAAGGATACTTTTGTACTTTGCTACACCAAGTTTAACAGAACACTGACTTTAATTCCTACTTACATTTCATTACTGCCTGCACCTCGTAGACAGGCATGAGAATCAAAGAGCCATGAAAATTCTCAGGAAGTGGACTAGAGGAGTCCCACTTATGTAAAGTATTGGAAAGTTTAACAATCCGGTTTCTACCCTTAGGGATTTTCCATTCTGCAATCTCTTTTAGGGTGTACATCTGGTCATCTTCACACTCATAGAATTCTCCTTCTTGGGAAAGCGGCAAAGTAAAAGAATGAGACTGTTTATTTCTGACCACGACACAGTTCACAGCCATCATCCCATGGACCTCTTCCACTGAGTTGAAGGTGATCTGCTCATCATGTTTGATAGTGAAATTTTCCAATTTTATATCATTGGCACTGTAGAAAGAAGGATGGCCAAACCTTGTTGGCCCAATAGAGACTGTTCTTGCAATTTCTTCAATGCTGATATATGGAGTCTTATCTGCCACAACCTTGTAAAGACCTAAAACCAGAAAACTTGCATTATAAAAAGGAAAATACACAAAGAAAGTCTGGCCAAATTTTAGACTGTGAATGTTATGAAAATGGGGAGCAAAGCACATCAAATAATTAATAGATGATAGATCAAGTGCTAAAAATATGACTCTGTAGAGGTAATATCAGCTGGTGCAATGTATAGACAGCTGGAATTAGCACTTTCTTTTGATGTGTATTTAATTTCTGACATCCAGCATTCTTAATCCACAGTAAAATTTTTCTTTGCCACAGAAAAAAGAAAAATTATCCTAAATTCCTATCTGTCTTCTCAAGAAACCAGCCTTTGAGACCTAAATGCAGATGTGGCATGAGGAAACACAACATTAATGTGATCAGTTCACACAGGATAAGTTTCTTGTCTAAACATCAGTACTATGCTACCTTCCACATGATGGCTGGGAATTCCTAGACCAAGTGTGTTTAAAGATACATCCCAAATGAAAGAGTAGCACCTACAGATAGAAAGAGCAAATAGATTTTAGCATATCTGACAGCCCAGTCCACCAGCTGGATTAATTCAAAGTCTGGGTGTTGTAGCACTCCAGCCATCACGAGGCAATTAAAATGCTGAAGATCTGCAAGGCAGAAGCTGTATCTGAGCTTCCCTATCTCCTAGGGACATTATGACTTCATGTTAATCATGCCCTTTGGATCTGTCTCATTAGGAGTTTCCATTGCAAGAAAATGTGTACATTTCTATATTTGCATGAGAGTTTTCATAAAGGAAGATGAACTGAAGGGTTGAGAGGACTAAAAAGCAGGTCTTAGCTGAACTGTGTGATTCATCTGTCTTCCTCACAAGGCGTGGCAGCATTGTGAATGTTGCCTTATGGAATTGCAGTGCAGCTTCCTGAGACAGACATTGACAAAGCCTTGCTTTCGAGTGAATATAAGCAAGAACAGGGTTATTTCTAGGCCAAGTTTGCTAGTCACAAATAAAACAATAGCGACAGCTACAGTGATCAAAGAAGCCAAGCTCCCTGGGAGACACTGCCTTTTCTCCCTTTGTCTGCAAAAGTCAACCAACAAAAATCCTATGGCCTCACTCCCCTATGCTATTGACTCCTCTGAACAACAGAGAGGGCTCTTTGTGGTAAAGGTATACTCCCATTTTGGCTGTTACTGAGGAAGCATGGGATGGGGTATCAAGGAGCCTGGTTGGTACCACTAAAGACACTTTTATGGCAGCTTCAAATCCCATGAGTAGTTCAAGCTTTATGTCTGAAAGGTGTTAAATTGTCCTCAGCCAAGTGCAGGATGCCCCAGCAGATAACTAGATTTCAGTAAGGTGAGATGCTGCCAGAACACACAGTTGCTGCTGGATCTTGGGAAGACACTAATTTCCTTCGCTAGACCTCCCCTGGATGTGGGATTGTTTAACAAATTTCATCATGGGATATTGTTTCTTTTGAAAATAAGCAAGGTGCTTATTTTCTTCCAAACATTTTCCCTTACTGACTTTCATTACTGACCATAATCAACACAACTGAGGGACCTGCATGGTATCAGGGAGTCCCTAAGATTGTATTTCTTTAAATGGATATATCAAATAATTACTTCTATCACAACAGCCTTTTAAAAATAATTTTTTGGGGTGGTTCTGGTTACAGGATTGCTGTGATTCTTTACAGTAGCAAAACCCTGTACTTTCACTTTGTAACTTTAGCATCACTCTTGTTAAAGGAGACATAATTAAGATTCTGTCTGTTGAGTAGCTTTTAACTGGATTCATCAAAAGATTGGGCATATTTGGTTCTGTGTGTCCCATGTGGCCACTAGTAACTCTGGGAACTAATGTCTCTGAGGGCCTGTCAGCAACCTAAGCAGGAATAGCCTCTTTGATCTACTGCAGAAATAGTCACCAGTTGCACCAATGTCACCTATTTCTGCAGTTTTGTGCCTTCACAATTGTCTGTATGACAGCCAGCTTTTCCTGTGTGAAGTCAGTACCCTTGTGTCAGTGCATCCTCTACATATGTGTCCTCACTGCAGGAAAACCTGCAGGAAAACCTCCAGACTTTTACCTGGGCTGCAAGGAAGGCACATGCATGAATGTACAAAGTACAATTTGAACACACTTTTCTCTCCCACTGATATTTGCTATGTTTCTCACTGCCATTTTAAACACAATTATTAGTGAGGAAGTTATCTACCACAGTCCTAAGCACTACTGGAGCATGTCAGTGCAGATCAACACAAACAGGTTCATCAGCATTTAGAAAGCATCACTGTGACAAGGCACCAGTGACAAACTGAAACTGTGGAAAAGACAAACAGTGTTCTAGTACCATGCTTTGCAAGCACAAGATGGGTATCACCTCCTGGAAGTGCTGAGAGAAAACAAATAGGAACATTCTTCATTAAAAAGGATATTCAAAATACTTATGATGTGTCCCAAAGGCAGTAACTATGCTTACCCATCTGTGATACAGGAGCAAGTGTATGCCTCTCACAAATTCCCCGGAATTACATTGAAAAGCCTCCATAAACTGTGCAAGAAACTTTCAGTTGAAAGTATTTTGCAAGGTACAGATATGAGGAACATTCTTCTCTTGTATGAGTTTGACAATAGTCTAGGGCTACTAGTTTTGCTGGGGCTACAAAGTTATTTGGCAAGGCAACTATTTCAGCAAGAAACTGATGAACATCCCAGGTTGGACAGCAGGTGTCATATGGAAGCATAATTACCAGATTTCATGCAAAACTAGACACCTGATTAACCCCTTGGCTCAGGCAGACTGGCTTTGTCAAGGATGGGAGCAGAAGAATGTTTGCCTTCTGTTCTAGTCATTTTCATCATTCTGGTGACAGAATGCTTGCTTAGACAAGAGAAGAGCTATGTGCCCTTGCATACTTAGCTTCTGTACTGATAACACTCCTGACATGACCTAAGAGCCACCTCTGAGTGGCTATGAACATGCAAAGTTCCATATGTTTCTCTCTACACACAACATAGTTAAATATATAAAAGGCTATTTTGGTATATTGAGTGGAAGTCACTGCCATATTCTGCCATGATATCCTCTCTTAAATGCTCTCCTTGATACTCTATATACGTAAAAACCAAAACAAAACCACAAAAACCACCAAACAATAGTCTCTGGAACAATTCAGAGCCGTATTAAAATCACTGTGAATCAAATTGCAAAAAACAAATGTTTTCCAAATCTAAGAAAACAAGGAAACCTCCAGGAGGAGGAGACATATGGTAAGTTTGAGATGCTAAAATTTGGACATTTTGAGGTCAAACAAAAATATTTTTTACTTTTTCATAAACCATAAAATGACTGAATCAAATTCACTTAGACTTTCCCAAGAGATCTTGGTGGACGGTAAGGAGGAAAGACAGATGGGAATAACAAATTTGGAAGAAAGTCCATCTGGTTTATCAAGATCTGGCATTATTGCTCCTATAGCTCCCACTTTCTAAATGCAATCTGGTCTATAACCAAACTGTACTGATGTCCAATGGTTTGAGGGAAAATAAAACAGTCATATAAGTAGAACTATACACATATATAATAATGCTACAGGAAAATGTAACCATTCCACTCCATGAAGCCTCTGTACCTAGTGACATTTTACTAGCTGAAGTGTCTGCCTAGACATAATATGGTGATTAGTAAGCCCCAAACATCATCAGCCCATCTTTTCAACAAGTTGACACAGAGTTTGAGAATCTGAGAAAATTATTTCACTGGTATGGGAGAAAAAACATACCCAGAGGATCTCAAGATTGAATGTGCTATGGGAAAGCATGTTTTGATAGAAGGATATTTTTACCTCCCTGGAGCTTTATGGACTTCCTATTTTCAGTCTTAATTAGAGTCCTGAAGGAAGGGAGTATTTTACTCTCTTTCCCCTACAGAAAGCTGAGAAAACCAATAGTTTGGCTTGCCTAGTAGCATAGCAAGCAGCTTTCAAGAAAAAAGAAGAGCAGAACAAATCATCTGTACCAGAGTAGCAGTTTCTGTTCCCAAAGTAAGGCTGGGAAGAGCACAGTTTCTACCTTCTCTGGAGAAGACTTAATTGCTATTCCTCTTTTCTCACACCTCCAACACCCACTCACTACCTCTTCTGCTTCAGCATCTTCCTCTTCTCATCCTGTCCCAAAGTCCAGCTGTTCCTCACCTAATACTGAGATGAGCCTTTTAATGCCTAACCCCTGTTTTTCCATGGATGTGTTGGGTGGTCACTGACAAGTCTTCTGTCTTTTGACTTACAGATGAGTACTCAAAAGGGCAGTCATGCTCAGCTATGTGTCTGTCAGACCATACAGGAATGAGCAGCAGCAACAGCCAGGGACCTCATGAGAACAGGAGCAGTCCAGGAATGTTCTTTGCAGAAGAAGGAATACAACAGATTGAAATGTAATCATTTGTGCTGGCAAACAATTCAGCTGTTGTGCAAATTACCTGTCTGCTAATTTGCTAGTTGTGAAAATTGTAGTTCAAAATGTGGTTAGATGTAGTTATTGAAGTGTCTAGAGTAACAGCAGACTTCTATTATTTTACCCAGTGTATGAGCACAGAAAGAATAGGCCAGTCCTCTGAGGCATGAAGAAGAACAAATTAGAATGAGGATAAAACGAAATAACACAGATAGTGAACTTGTGGTTGCAGCGGTTTCTGTAATGCAAAGCACAGATTAGGCCTTTATCAAGGATCTGATTTGCCAGAGAAGAAAAAAATCAGTTCTGAAGACTGCAAATATGTTCAGAAAGACAAAGAGTAGGGCTCATTTAAGGCCAATGAGCCTAGTTCTTCACTCTCAGAGCTGCTATCTCCAGAGTAAACTAAATAGGAGCATTGCTCATTCGTGCCAGCATGCACGCAGTGAAAGCATACATGAGCCCATGACATGCAAAAGAGCTCATGGCAAAGGAAATGGAAAAGAGCATCAAAGAAATAGATTTCTTTGCATCAACGCTGGCAAGAGAGGACTGTACATACAATGTAAATACAGGGTCAGCCTCCTGGAGACCTGTGGATATTTTTATTGAATTAAGTCAAAGGCAGTGTGAAAAAGATAATCTCCAATTCAGTTCTGTGCTTCATTCAAGAGATGGGGCAAGCCGTGTTTCATGTACAATGTTTCATTTAGATCTTAGCACGTGTATGTAATAAAGTGAAAAGGAAAAAGGTCAAGAAAGAACAAGAGACTCTGCAGTCTTTACTCTGCAGAGCAGAATCATTCATCAGCTAAGAACTAAACTAGAGAAATGACAAATTTACGTCTTACCAAATAGCTCCTGAATGCAAAAGAGTACATATACAGAGAAAAAGAGGAAAGAGGTGCTCCCTGTTGGGCTAATAAGAAGTGTCATTATGCCCCTCTTCAGTGCTGCTGTTCAGTAATACCCATCATGTGGAGGATAATAATGATAAATTTCAGCAAAATGAACTCTGAATTTATTTTTCAAGTGAAATAACCCAGTTTTCTAGAACACTGCTTGGGAGAGTTCATAACTATGCATGAAAATTGTAGTGATTAGATCGAATTTGAAAATGTGCTCAGCAGGGCAACAGCATCCAAATGCCAGGTTGTAAAACTGATCACTTGAATGCAAATAAATCCCGATTCACCAAGTTCAAGCATTTGAAATCACAAGTCTTTCTGTTCTAACAATCGGGACCTTCAACATTAATAAATTTAGGATTACTTTTATCACTCTGTGGTGTTGGATATTTTAGGATTCAAATGTTCAACCTCATCTGCCAATCAAGATTTAGAATATATTTCTATTGGTGTATGTATTTTAGAGATAGAAGAAATTTTAATAATATCAGAGAAACTTGGATTACAAGAAAAATACCAAGTATCTTGAGAGTTCACAGGAGAGTCATATTTTAATATCTCTAGATAGCCACAGATAATTAAAAGGTCTTTGATCTCTACGTCTGGGCCCTACTAGTGCTTGAAAATGGCATTCCAAAAAAGTATTTTAATAAGTGGTCATAGAAACCACTCTGATTCACAGCGTAAGAGAAACATGAAAGTAAATTGAGGATCTATTTTTGGGGGGAGGGGGGTGTGAAAGTTATATATATGCAACTATTTCAGGGAGAAATACGTATTTTAGAGATGGCAAATAAAGGCACAGCAGAAAATATTTTTCTGTAGAATTCAGATGAAATATTTCATTCCCATGGACTTTTACATTTTATTTGTTTCAATAAGTGTGTCTTGTCTTCCTCTGCAGAAAAAGCATGTCCCAGCTTGGATGCTGGCATAACCTAAACCCTATATATGCACGTGCACACTCTGGCATACTCAGCAAGACTTTAGAAGAGCATCAATGAGGTTATTAAGTCAAGCACTCAAACACTAGAAAACACTCATATTATGTTCCCAATGCAGCATCAATTTAATTTCCCATGTGCTTTCAGTACAACACAGTGCTAATTAAATATTTAGAGTGGTTTTTTTTTTTTTTTTTTTTACAAAACTGTAGCCTCGTTCAGTCCATTAGCTAGACTGAGGGCCAAAGCGAGTCCTGGGCATGATCTCAGACTCTTGAAGTCTGTTGTGTTCTGTGTGTGCTCTGTACCAGTGTTTCCTTTATGCAGGTGTCCTAAAGCTTCTGCCCCAATCTGCCTCCCACCCCCACTGCCCTCCTCATGCAGCTTTCCAGTTTGCTTCTCTCCTCTCACCAAGTGGTTCCCATTACCTCTGCTGTCTGCAACACTCCCAGCGTATTAAATGCCCTACTTGCAAACTTGTGGGTGGGTGGGGTTTTCCTGTGCTGCTGAAACCACCTGCACCTGCCTCCAGCCTCTGATCTTTGCACAAAAAATCTTCATCCTTCTGTCCTGCTCTGACGTCAAAACTTTTTCTACCATTTTCCTAACGCAGTTTGTCTCCTCCACTTCCCACGCTTGGGATACTCACATGGGATACACACTTCTCCCTCTGTGCTTTAATCACTTCCCTGCTCAGTGCTGCTGGGCCCTAACAGTAGAGGAACTGAGATGAGAGCCAAATTCAGAAATCAATAAATATGACACATGATGAACTAGTACTGGGTTCAGTACTTGACCAGCTCTCCTTAACAAGGCAACAAGGAGAGGCGAAGATATGGTTCAAGTAACAAGTCAGTACCACATGCCAAATTTCAAGTCCATCCTCCAAAATATGAATATATTTGGATTTCTCTACAGAACAGTTAAAGAGAGACTTTTTAAGCAGAAAAACACATCCATTCCCCTCTAATCCTGTTTCCAAGCATGGAGCAGCCACTCTGGCCATCATGGAATAAATCATTAAAACAAAAGCAGTATTGAAAACAAAGTATTGAGAATATTTTGTACCCATAATAATAAAATACAGATGTAGTAATGGTAAATACATTATAGTTTAAGAACACAACAAGGTAGATTTCAGCTCAGACAAGGTTTGGCAAAGTCATAAGTAAACGAAAAGATTTTTGTTGTAATTCTTACACCAAGGGACTCCAAGTGTGGAAAGCATTACCACGAAACCATATAATATTAATAACTTCTATCCAGGTTTGAGAAAGGACTATAAGAGTTGAAATTTAAAAACTAGTTGACTGTGTCTTGTATCATCTAATAAAACTGTATTCTTGACAGCTGAGTTGTAACCTCAAATATCAATCAAGATAGCAAATCAATAAAATGAACAAAGGTGATTACTCAGGGATATAATTTCTCAAAAACATGTATTAGTGAAATACTATACCAGGAAAATTTAGTGGTAATTCCACTTTGGCTGGAAACTGGCTGACTTCATTATTCTCACAGATACTTGCTATGAGTTTATTAATTTTGAAGCCAATAACTTTAATGACATCTTCTGTTGAGAGGGAGAATTCTTTTCCAAACGTCTCATAGATGGAGTCTGAAAAGAAATACAAAAGGAAAGAAAAGCATTATTTAGCTTTTTCTCACTTTGTCATGTGTCTTTACCTCTTTGAGTGAAAAGAAAAATAATACTTAAAATATAAGAAATAATACTTATCTTGTGATAATTAGCCTAATTAGCTCAGACACTAAAGGTGCCTCTGCACAGCACAGGGCATAGCGTATACCATAGGAAACAACAGACTACAGCAGGAGACAAAAACCCATAGACCCTTGAGGTACCCAGGGAGACGACAGGAGACATCCAAGTGCAACCAGCATTTGAGCTTCCTGTGGTGACAGAAGACCTGAAGAAAGTACTAGAAATTGGAAAACTGGCAAATTAACAATGGCAACCCCTGTCCCATGTTGAAATGAGCATATTGATTCAGGCCTGACAGCAAAAAATTCCTTTTCTGTCTCTCATGTTCAGAACTTTGAGAAAAGAAACAAAGCAATCCAGCCAAGTGTTTCAGCACTTCCTCAGGAAAACCTGGAACTGTATCTTGTCCCACAAAAACCAGTCCTCCCTCCCTTCTCCATTCTAGTTGTGGTCAACCTTCACTGTTTCAGAAGCAGATGTACAGGGAGAAGAATAAATCCAAAAAACTCAAAAGCCAAGCTATGAAGAAGAAGGAAAATTCCTCCTGGTCTATGCAGGAGATTAGCAGAAGCTTTGGGGCATGGGATCAATTAATTATATATAAAGGCAATACAGTGAACACATATTGTTCCATTTGTAGATAGAATTGCATTGAACACAGAACATCAGAAATGTTGACTTTAATACTAACTTCCATTCTTCTGTGCATTTCCTCCCAAGAACTAACCAAGATCTGTCCTGAAGCAATGTGGACATTCCTGTCCTGAAATCTCATCTCAAAATTTCATTTCCCTTGTGGTGAGAAACACTGTTTTCATTTCCACCCCAATGCATTGGTGAGTGTATTTATTTGCTCTCCTACTAATATTGTTCAGCTACTTAAAATACTTTCTTTCTCATTTCCATTTTTCCTTCCCCAGAGGGTTCTCAGGGTTAATTTTGCCCTTTGCTTTATCTCCTCTGAGAAGACAGATTTTCCTTCAGACAACTGCTCTAAGCCCTTAGTTATATCTTGTTCAGTTTAAAGTCTTGTCTTTTTACTTTTAATTTTTTTTTTTTTTAACCTAGGTAAGCAGAATGGTATCAAGCAATGAGAAATATTTAAAACTGACCTCTGGCTACATAGTTTCAATCAATAATTGAGAAGGCCAGTACTGACATATCATTTTTGCTGGCAGAACTCCCTTCCTTGAAGAGCAACACTCTTTACATCTCTCCTTGTAATGGGTGGGGATGGTGAGGAGAAAAGAAAAAAAAAACCAGCTTAGCTTTTTTCTTTTTCCACCCAGATGTCACACCAAAAAACCCCAACTATTAGCTGACTGATCTTCCTGGTGTTCATTCAAGAACAATTCCAGTCCTGAATATAGCCTGGACTGACAAGCATCTCTTACTGAGTCTTAGATCTATTTATTAACTCTGCTGCAGCACCTGCAAATGGCAAGTGCTTGACTATCTCCTAGACCTCAAGAGAAGTCACTGGGAGTCCAGCCTGAGCATAACTTATTCTTGTTTTAGCCTAAACCTACCCAAAGCCTCAACAGAGCACCATAAAACAGCAGAAGAATGATGGAGAGTAAAGCTGAACAGCTGGGTAAGTGTGCCCTTTTGTGAATAGATGTCCAGACAAACCTATTGGTTGCTTATACAATGCTCTCAAAAATTGAGATGGACACCAGAAAATCCTCAGCTTCCCTGAAGAAGATGTAGGTTTTTAAAGCTCTGCAGAAGGAATCTTGATTGAAAAAAATAAAGTAAAAAAATATCTGGAAGATGCCTTTCACAGGCTGGATGGGACAACATCCCCTGGCTTCCCTTGCTGAGGACCCTATACAGGCTTAAGGTCCCTGCTGTGCTTAAATTCCAAACTCACCCAGCCGGCTTCCTGCTGCACAACCAGGATGATGACTAACTCAGAGGTATTCTGGATTATAGTGCCACACAAATATCAACCAGTGCCAGGTGAAGATACACGCTGTTTATGCATGCTTTCAACAATTTTGGTACTGAGCAGAAGACCAAGAGAACTGCTGCCCTTTAACAAAGAAGAACAATCTGGTTTTCTTATTGTAAAAATAGTGCATAGTTGTTTGCTCTGTTCAGTCCCTTAGCAATTCAATACAGACTAACTCAGCTGTCTCTGGAAATTGCTACAGCTCCCATCAGGACTCTGGCTGCTGCTAATAAGATCATGAAGTGCCATGTCTACTCACTTTTTTAATACTCCAGGTGTGGTTACTCCACCATTTCCCTGGGCAGCCTGTTCCGGTGCTTCTCTCCGGTTCACTCTTTCAGTGAACATTTTTTTCCCAGTATTTGAGATGAGCCTCCCCTGGCACAACTTGGGGTCGTTTTCCCTTGTTATGTCACTGGTTGCCTGGGGGAAGAGAATGACTCTCACCTCACCACAGCCTCCTTTTAGGTAGTTTTTGAGAATGACAAGGTCTTTTCTTAGCCTTGTTTTCTCCAAGCTTAAATTCCCCAGCTCCCTCAGCTGCTCCTCACAGGATTTATGTTCCATCCCCTTCACAGCTCCATTTTACTTCTCAGGGCATGCTCCAGAACCTCAATGTCTTTCCTGTTATTATTTCACCCCACTCCCTGGGCTTGGCCATCCAGCCAGTTTTATACCCAGTGATGAGTGCACTTGTCCAAGCTGTGGGCTGCCAGCTTTCCCAAGAGAATGCTGTGGAAGACTGTGCCAAAGGCTTTCCTGAAGTCTGAGTAGGCAACATCCACAGCCTTTCCCTCATCCACTAAATTGAGCAGTTAAGGGGCTAAAGCTCTCAAAAAACTGTTATTGAAGAATATTTAATGATTATTTCAGTCTATATTTGCAACAGAGTGATTCCACAAAACCCCCTAAGAAAATTAAAATCAAGGGAGGTCGTTGTCCTACCATCAAAGAAATTAACATGGGAACATAATCCACTGGCAAACAAAATGCTTTGCAATACCACCAGTAAGGACCATAGGATAGTACTTTTTTTTGCAGAAGAGAAGTTGGATGAATAGGTCATATAACCATGGAATAATGGAGGCATGCCACCACATTTTCCATCCAAGATGTCAGAAACCAACTTTCAACAGCTTATCAATAGTAAAACATATATTACCAGATTTATTTGAAATAGGCCAAGAGGTTGAAAGATTATGAGGGTGAGAGGTTGGGTTAATGATTGCTAACTGACTGAGACCATGATAGCAGAAGCCTCATTTTTATCAATAATAGGATTTAGAAAAAAAAGTAAAATTTAAAATCTGCCAGCCACATTTTTGGGGGTACGATTGCACATACAGTATTGATTTTAATTACATATTTGTCTGCAACTAGATTGCTTTGGCCCTGATTTTAGCCCTTGCTTGGCAGTTTGCCTGGAATAATACAATGAAGATTACATTCAGACAAGAAATATGTTACCTAGGCACTTGCAGCAAATATTTGTGCTGGTAAAAGGGAGCCAGGGAAACTGCATCGCTTTCAAAAAGGATAATAAGAGTACTTTTTCCTTTAGAAGCCATGATAATTAATCTTAAAACATTTTGAAAATTCCCACTTTGTGACAATGTGACCCTGAGAGATTTTACTTCAGCTGTGTAAGGCAGACCCCCTCACACGATATATTGAAAAATAAAATTTTAATTAAAATGCACTTTTTAAACATTTATTTGTTGTTGCACAACAATAACTTTGTTTTTCCCACTCAAGTCACAAAGAAAATGAAACTCTTTGAAAATGTAAATCAAATAACATTGAGAACAGAATCTTTTGATTTGAGAAAGAGGTATGCAATAGAATGCAAAAAACCCCCCAAATCAACATTTTAGCAGAACCCAGAATAAAGCAGCTTATTTACAGTGATCAAACAATGCCCCCGAAGGCTGTAATTAAAGAGCTTGTTGCCTTTGAAAAAACCTTTTCTGAAATGTTACTTTGTTCAATAAAAACCACATTTATATCCTTTCATAAGCTCATCTCCAGTCTGACAATCTGTGTTATCAACCACTGTGATCAGATCAAAGCAAACATCACATTTGGTTCAATATCTTTTCCCTCCATCTTTCCTAAAATGTTAAACAGCCACACCACCATCGTCCCTGACATAAGCCCTTTATTTGATTTATTTCTCATTATAGCTACAAGAAGAGCACTTCTGTATTAAAAACAGCAATATAAAATATAAATACAGTGAATGCCTGATATGGAGGATATCATTCTTAATGTCAGGGTATCTGCCAGTACCACTGAGATAAATATTTTATAATACAAGGTGAAATAATAAAATATCTCAGTAATATGTCCCTTTTTCTTGCCAGCAGCTTGGAGCTCCATTGGTGACTGCTCGAGGAGTGAACTCCTCACTGATGCTGATAGAAACGGCTCGCAATCAGGGCAGGCAGTAAACAGCAGTAATACATCACTGCTGTGGAGCTCCTTTCTGCCAAATGCCTCCGGGCACTTTAGCACGAAGGGCCAGGGAGAGCGATGCAAAGGAGACAAAAGACTTGACTAAGGTGGCACAGAGGATTATTCAGCAGGGGTGAAGCTCAAGCTCAGGCTGGCTGACTCCCAGTCTCAGCCTGTCTGATACAGGGTGCTGCTAAACACTTCCAAGTACCCACCCCTCCTTTTTTTATTATTTTTTATTTTCTTTTTTTTTCTTTTTTTTAACAAAGACCAAGCTTCTTTCCTAACAAAACCAGATTACTTTGGAGGCCAAACAGTAGGCATTGACTGCCTAGTCCCATGAGTTTGAATCTTTGAAGGAAAATATTTTCTCTTTCATGTCTCAGTAACACACTGAATTCATTGCAGCTGGCAGGCTGAATAGTCTTTGAAAGGAGATCCAAAGAACCAGGAACCTGGCTGCTTAGTGGGGAGATGAAAGATCCCC